TGTTTGTTGGATCCAGTTATTTTTATCTGTTTTTAAAAAAATCTTTCTGTAATAGCCTTTCCTACTTTTTCCCCTCTCATTTTAAGTAATATTTAGTGTAACAGTTTTGGGCAAGCAAATTGATTTGGTCTTTATTAATAATTCTTAGGAAAACTGGACTGTATGGAATACTGTACCTGGCAATAACTGTTCCTAAGAGAAATTGATCTGTGTTCGCAGAATGAGAGTTTGGTTTTTTGTAGAGGTACAACAGAAAGGTACTGTGTTTAGGAGAGATTGCATTCCCTCAACATTAGATTGTTTCAGGGAATACAGGAGGTTAAATCCTAGATAGGTCTGTGGAAGAGCAGAATCTGCATTTGGATATTTGTGCCTATTAATTGGACAATTGCCAAAAACAATTTATGATTTTAAGTTTTTCTATCATGTCTCTAAATCTCTATTTCTCTTTAGGCAGGATCTAGCTGTGAATTTAAGTCATTTTGTTTTGTTGGTAATGATGTGAGAGTTGATTTAAAAAGGGATGAATCAGCAATTGTTTAAAACTATTTTTGGATTAATGGACAACTTAGGCTACACAATAAATACTGAATAAAATCAGAAATGCAAACTATGTATCCTAATTGATGTTTTTCTAATGTTTGACTTAGTTTAACTTGTGAGTTAATATTTTGGCTGCTCTTGGTTGAAAGAAGCGGCCCTGTCTTTCAAATTCCAAAAGGTTAAGATTTTTATTTTTATTTTATGGCTGTTTCCTAGGGGATGAATAAGCAAGTTTATTAAGAAAATATAATTATTTGAACCAATACCTTAAGCCTAGATTTATTTTTAAGTTTTTGAATTGTTTGCATGTTTTGATTTTTAGTCTTAGGAAGGGTTGCAGATATTATTGCTTTGCATTGCAGGGTACGTGTTCAGTTTCCTTCACAAAAAAACATCTGGTAGGATTCAGTTGCATTGGTAAAGGAACACAGAACTAAGCTGGCATCCAGTCCAAATGTGACACTTGTCACATAAAATGATTTATTCTCTAGGCATATGAATTGGCTCAGTCAAGTTACTACTCTAAGAAAATCTTACAGAGTGCTACTGTGGTCCACTTTTTTTTTTTTTTAAACTGGTAAGGGGATCTTACCCCTTGGTTTGGTGTTGTCAGCACCACGCTCAGCCAGTGTGTGAACCGGCCATCCCTATATAGCATCCAAACCCATGGCCTTAGTGTTATCAGCACCACACTCTCCTGAGTGAGCCACAGGCTGACGCCATGTGGTCCACTTTTAATTTTTTTTTTTTTTTTTGTCTTTTGTCTTTTGTCTTTTTTCCGTGTCCGGCAACGGGATCGCAAACCTCGGTGTTGCTCCCGCACCTCGCTCAGCCAGTGAGCGG